CTCCCGGACCGGGGCACGAACCCGCGTCCCCTGCATCGGCAGGCGGACTCACAACCACTGCGCCACCAGGGAAGCCCAAGGCTCGATTTTAGAGTTCATCACAGGACCTAAAATCACAGGACCCTGTTTATTATTTTTATTGGAGTATAATTGATTTACAGTGTTGTGTTAGTTTCTGGTGTACAGCAAAGTGATTCACTTATACATATATATGTATTCTTTTTCATATTCTTTTCCATTATAGATTATTATAAGATATTAAATATTGGTTCCTGTGCTATACAGTAGGACCTTGTTGTGTATCTATTTTATTTATAGTAGTGTGTATCTGCTAATCCCAAACTCCTAGTTTATCCCCCTCCCCGGACACTGCTGTTTGAAGGGCAGTCATTTTCCTCATTAACAATGAAATTACTTTATGTTCCCAAGAAAGTTCCTTCCAGAAGAATACAGATCACTGGCTAATTAATGATCTGGACTCCTCATCTCCCAAGTCCAGGCCTGCCATATGTCATCCTGTCACATGATAATAATATCCTCAGGTACCACATGCAGAGGGCCCCCCCCGCAGAAAAAAAAGAAAGAAAGAATGGATAAATATTTGTGGTAGTCATGTAAAAATTAGTGGCAACTGTCATTCCTTGGCCACCTGTTTCCTCCTGATAACAGTTAACTGATGTCATGGAAGGCAGACATGGTGCCTGAGCTTTGGAAGTTGTCCCATTTGTCACTAGGCATTTCTCTTCAGGTCAGAGAGTCTGGTTGGCCCCAGGGACTTACTGGGGGACTGAAAAGAGGGAGGTTTCCTTCCATTGCGGGCTCCCCGGAATTAATTCCTTCATCAAGTACTCTTCGTACTCCAACGCTGCTCTGACTGCAGGGAAATCGCTCCTGGGCATCATAGAAGATCTGTGGTTTCTAGCCTCAGCGGGATGCTCGGTTGCTCCTCGGTAACATTTACCTCCTCTTTTTCCCCTTCCTGCCCTGATTTACCCATAACTCCTTGCGTCCATGCATCCTTGCTTCCTCTACTGCATCCAGAGGAAGAAGGGTATGTTTTCTGTCCCAGGCTAACCTTTTATCTGAACTTACCTTCTCCCTTCCCTGGAGCATGTTTTCTTTCATTCTTCCTCCCATTGTGATGCAAGGTTCTCACTCTCCAGTAGTTTCTTATCAGCTTACGTGGAAGTTTACAAAAACAAATAAACCCACATCTTTCCTTCTGCCCTCCCTCCTGCCTCTACCTTCACTGACATCCTTGCTTGGTCCTCCTCTTAGTGGCAGCTGTCATTCCTCAGTCACCTGCACTCTGACTTCTGTCCCATCTTTGCTCAGTTCTCAGATGCCCTTTGGACCACCCAATCCAGCGGCCTTAGCTCAGTCACCCCTCTGGGCATAACGACACTGCTGACCGTGTTCTTTGCTTAGACGCTCTTGTCTTTGCTTCCATTTCTGGGACACTTCTGGGACTTCTACTAATTTCCCATTGGTCTCTCTGACCACTCCTGGGGTTTTGGGTTTTTTTTTTTTTTTTTTTTTTTTTGTTTTGCTTTTAAGTCAGAGAAAGACGAATATCATATATCACTTACATGTGGAATCTAAAATACGAAAAAAATGAACTTATCTACAAAACAGAAATAGACTCACAGACATAGAAAACAAATTTACGGTTACCAAAAGGGAAAGTGGGGGAGGGGTACATTAGGAGTTTGGGATTAATGGATGCACACTACTGTATGTAAAATAGATAACTAACAAGGACCTCCTGTATAGCGCAGGGAACTATATTCAGTATCTTGTAATAACGTATAACGGAAAAGAATCTGAAGAATAGATAGATACATATGTATAACTGAATCACTTTGCTGTACACCTGAAACTAACGCAACGTTGTAAGTCAACTCTACTCCAATAAAAGATAATAAGCTGTGTTTTAAGGTGGATGAAAAGGGACGTTGGGAGAGGCAGGGAGAGCAGTGGGAGGCTGTTTCAGTGTCCAGGTGGGAAGGGGCTCGGGCTGGAACTGGGGTAATAGCCGAGGGAATGGTCAAGAGGGAAGGGAAACGCAAGCGAGTGTTTCCTATTTAAACTTGGCAAAAGATGGATGGATGGATGGATCCATCCAAACAAACCGGCAGCAGTGGGCCAGCTCGGTTGGTCTTTCCGATCATCCGTTTCTTACTGTAGCTCCCCGACCACTGGGAGAAAGCTGTCATCACAGTGCAGCGACCTGGGAAGATTCCAACCAGCAGCCGATGTGGAAACACTGTTCCTGATGATGACAACCAGGTGGTGTCCCTGTCGCCTGGCTCCAGGTCAGTGTGACAGTGGTTTGCAGCTTAACAGAACCCGCATGCAAATTAATTCTTTCTCTCATGTCTCGCCTGGTGAGTTGTACAGTTACCATTTTGGGGCCATGAGCCAAACATGGACTGTTCCTTCCTTTGGGATGATCTACGTGGAGCTTTGATGGATTAGATACTTAAAGGTGCGCCTTTGGTTGTTATTTTTCTCTTTTGTTTCGGGGCAGGTATGTGGTCCTCCCCCGCCCCGTGTGCTTGGAGAAGGGTGTGAACTACACAGTGAGGTTAGAGCTGCCCCAGTACACCTCCTCGGACAGCAGTGTGGACAGCCCCTACACGCTGATCGATTCTGTAAGTGGAGGTCGTTTCTGACATGAGCAGGAGTACTGGGCAGAAAGCATGCATCAGCTTCCCCAGAGGGTTTTGTGGAGGGTAATGCTGAGAGGTGAGGCAGAGTCATTCTTTCTGCCTCCGAGGGGGCCCGTGAGCCATGGCCACTGAGACTGCGCGTCCGGAGCCTGTGCTCCACGGCGGGAGGGGCCGCAGCAGTGAGGGGCCTGCATACCGCAAAAAAAAAAAAAAACAATGACTGTGATCTGAAAGACCTTCGAAATTATATCTATGAATTTGCATCTTTCTTGCTCTACTTTATAACAGGCAAAAACTCACAAATTATAGGTGCTCTTTGGGGCAAATGTATAATGGAAAAATAGTCTCGGCTATACTCAATACTCATCGTTTTCCTGAGCTGAGGTGTTCTGTCAATGTCACAGGGTTTCAAATAATCACCAGGAATCAAAATAGTCATTGCCTCCCCAGATTATATCCATTTGGATTACTTACAAAGACAGCTGGGGCAAAGGTAATTCTATCCTCTTACAGGATCAGATATGGTTTTTCTGACTCTATAAGTGGAGCTGTCCAAGGTTGAGGAGGCAGTGCGGTAACCTGAATTCCTTAGCTTCTCCATCCATCTTCCTTCATCAGACCACCTTCCATAAACTTCCCATAAGCCTGTTGCTGCCTGAGAATCTTGGAGCGAGGAAGAGTTTGAGGAGGGGATGGGCTGGAATTGGTATTTTAGCTAAAGGTAGGTGCAGAAGTAGATTTTTAATGGCTTAATTTATTTTCTGCTATTTTATTTTCTACCATACATCTCATCTATAGGTACTGTAGATGCATCCATGCATACATTCCTACATACATTAAGCCATTATCTGGCACGGTACAGATACTGTAGTTTAGTGAGTTACCATATGCTTTACTTAGGGATTTCAAGAAGTCGAATACACGCCACTTTATATTTGAGCTGCCCCCATTGCTGGCACTTGCATCAGAGCCATCTTTCCCCTTCCTGGAGGCCACTGGAACTCCACCCATGTTGGTCCCACCATCCTTCA